CCCCCACCGCTCCCATTCCCGTTCTTTGCACCCGCCTGCATCGCATCAGTGTTCGGGAAAACTCGTTTCGCGTGTATTGGTTTTGGGTACTGTGTGATCTGCACAGTGTGAACTGAGAGGGCAGCCGCTTATATGAGCCATATAAAAAAAAAAAATGGGGAAAAAATATAGCTAACAAAAAGCAGATGTAGGCTGCTAACTCCTATGAAGACTTGGGCAGAAGGAGACTGTGCTCTGCCTTGGAGAAGTTGTCTCTCTTGGTCGGGTTTCCTAGGTCGCTGCTGAGCCCAAGCCCGCAGGAGGTGAGGACAGCAGGGTGCTGGTGCTCAGACCCACACGTCCCGCTCAGCCCCATGCCTCGGGCAGCAGCCACCACTGAAATTGTAACTAGTTTTTCTATTAAAAAGCGGATATGCTGTTTTCTGGGAACCCGCTTACGGAGTCCAAAAAAAGTTTAAAACCTTGAATACAACTCCTTCAGGCCATTTGTTTGGGCGGTTTATAAACGAAGCAGTTCAAACCTGTGCTGCTTCTCAAATCTGTGTTTGTGGTTTTTCTGTGTGGAAGTGGAGGGGGAAGAAATTCAGGGCTGTGCCCCAAAAATTATTTCACTGAAAGAATCCATAAACCATGTGATAACTCAGATTTTATATATCCCATGAGCAGCGATCACAGAATCACAGAATGGTAGGGGTTGGAAGGGGCCTCTGTGGGTCACCCAGTCCAACCCCCTGCCGAAGCAGGGGGATGCCTAAGGGGAGGGCACTGCTGGCAGCGATTTAGGGGACACCCCCAGGTGTCGTGGCCACAGCCACGAAGGGGGACGTCCTCGGGGCCCTGGAAAATTTCACGGGGTCAAGCACAAGCCCCAGCGACCGTGGTGACCTGTGTCAGCCTGCTCCCCTCCATCACTGCTGGCATGGTGAAACGGTAAACGCTGTAAGAGGGTAAAACACCAGGATGCCCTGTAGATTTGGGGTGTTCTGAATTCATGAGCGTTTAAAAGCTCCTCAGGGACTGCTTTCGTTGGAGTATCTGCCATCTTCAAAATGTAAACACATACAAAATATTCTCAGATGTTTTGGTGAGCGAGCATTGGCTGTCGGTAGCTCGCGACTACGAACCGGTACGGTGCTGGGCTCTGCCCCGGCTCTGCGCTGAGGGATGATCCGTATGCAAATCCCTCATTAAAATTAGCTCGGGGCAAAGCCGCCTACTCCCACTACCCCTTGGTTAGAGGCAGGATGGTTTCGGTGTTTGGCTTCCTGCTGCTTTGTCCAATCTACTTTTATTATTTTTAAAAAGCTGGAAGATCCCCCCCTATCATTTGGCTTTAAAAAAATAAAAATCCCGTTTTTCCGTTCAACTTTGCCCATGCATTATGCAGCATTTATCACCGCGTTTCTCCTCTCTGAAGTAGAACAGGATCTGCCAGGTACTCTGCGTGTACATGGAAGGAATATTAATAATAATTACTAGTTCATCTGAGCAAGCTTGTCCTAATTTTGCCATTTCACCCCAAGGCAAAGGCCCAAAAAATGAGATTGAAAAATGTGGTTTTGTATCACAGAAGGCTAGATCTAATCCAGGACAATGCCAGCTTCTTTAGCAGGAGTCTCCGTGAAAGAATATGGTTTATGTGAAGCATTTACAGGTCATAAAAATGCGAAAGCAACAAATGTCACGTTTTAATTTTACTTGTGATACGAGTTTTAGAGCCCATCGGACTCATGGTTTGCAGCTTTTCTCTGTAACTATGGATACTAGCAGCAGATTTGGGGTGGTTTGTTGTTGTTTGGGGTTTCTTTTTAATTGATGTTGTGTGTTGATCCTTGTAGGAAAATGCTAAATATCACAAGATGGCAGCGAATCACGAAGCTGCAGTCTCCCCCTCTGCACAGGAACTGCCACGTTCCAGATTCTCAGATAATTTTTCTTTTTTAACCCCAAAAGCAAATTCAGAGCGTTAATACCGATCTGTGGCTTGAATGCAAGGATCCCCGCAAAAAAAGCTGGTATCCAGGGGAAGTTTTTTGCCCGAAGCACTGTAGCGATGGGACCAAATTCTTTTCATCTTCTCTGATTAAAAAAAAAAAAAAAAAGGTAAATTCAAGTTAAAAAAGGGAAGGAAAAAAAAAAATCCCCTTCCTGCCCTGAAGACAAAGGAACACTTTATGATCTCTGTGGATACATCTGCGTTCATCGCATGTGACATTTTCTGTCCCTGGGGACGAGTCATTCGTATCTGTTCATGTGGGGAAACCAA